CTGTTGCAGTCTTCTACAAAGAAGGATAAGAAAAATTATTTATAATGCTCTCTGTGTATTTTTGGCATGGGATGCAATGCAACAGATAACCTAGTGAAAAATAAATATACTAAAATATAATGTATGCTAAGCATACAAATACATTTACATATTTCTGTACTTAATATAAAAACAATTTAGCCCAGAGCTAAAGACAAGAAGCCCAGAGCTGTCTACACCTTTGAATCAAAGCATGATTATTTGCCTTCATATTTTTGAAAAAAGAAAAGTAACTAAAAGATGTTTAATGTATTGCAATAACTGCCCAACAAGGCTTGCTTTTTCAAAGACTTTATACAAGAACATATATTACAGAGAAGTCTTCTGACCGAATTGTTAGTCATTTAAAATGCTTGATTTAGGCCAGACTCAACTTACTTTATCTAACCTGAGAATAATATAAATTAAGGTAAATGGTGTTAAGATTGAAAAGGTGTATTTTACATACATTTACATATTTTTTTTTTTACATACAATGTACATATTTTACATACATTGCTATAGTTTTTTTTAGGGAACAGATCCTAAGGGCAGAATTTGCAAAGATAACTTTTGCCTACAATGTAAATGTAACCATAAGAAATTTACAACCAAAATAAAAAAATACTTCAGACATGTTTTTGTTTAATCCTCGGTTGACTTGTTATGATTAAATGTAGGCTACAACACGATGAGTATTGTGAGTACTTGTTGAGTGTAAAAACAGTATATGTAGATAAAAGTTTATAGGAAAGGTGTTTTGAATTGCGAAAAAAATAAGATGACCTTTAACCTTTACCTCGTCAATAGTTTAACATTGAATATCAGATATTGTTTAATTCAATTCAAATGTATTTATTTAGCACTTTCACAATGTTGAATGGATGCAAAGCAGCTTAAATACATATACTGTAGAATGTAGTTACAAAAGTAAAGTAAAAAAATTTCATCATTTCAGTTTGAAAAAGAAATTAATGTACAGCATCTGTACCCATTAAACTTTGAAAAGCCCTTTGGGGCTGTCAAAATATTATTAATTATTAGAAAAATTATTAAAATAATCCTGACCAGTCCTCAAAAATTACACAAAAATTTGTCAAATAAATTCAGAAACGTTAAATACATAAAAAGTAACATAAAATGTACTAAAATAAATAAAGTTTAATGCACTTTCGTACTGGCCGTTTCGCATTTATTTTCACACACTGCACATATATTGAGAATTTTCTCTGCAATTACCTTTCTATTTCCTTCATTGATAGAAAAATCTATTTGCTTATAGCTGAACTTGTAAGAGTAAAGAAAGAACACGAAGCTTTTGTGTGATTCATATCTGTGTGATGGTGCAACTAGTAAAACAAGTTCATTTGTGAGCAAGCGACTCAGGCGACCCGGGTTCGATTCCAGTCCATCGTGGTTCCTACATTCAATGTACATACATCTGTTCTCATTGTCTCAATGGTGTTCACTAGATAAGCGATTTACTGGTAAACTGGAGTTTGTCTGTAGAAGGCAAATTCTCAAGCAGTGCCATTATTTATAATGATTACTTTATTGTAGCCTATATTTGAAGCACACTATAATGATGCCATTAGCATACTTAAAGTTTACTTGGAATGCCATTGCAATGTGTTTAAAATCACTTAAAGTGTGTTATCAGTATAATATTAATGTATGTTCAACACTCTTACAGTGTAATTGAATTGCAATTGTAATGTTGTCAAAATACAAATAAAAGAGTATAATTAAAGTGTACTTGAGTATACTTGGAATAGTTTGACTTTAGCAAACAAGTATATTCAATACACCTTTAGTTGCACTTTAGCCATACCTTTGGACAATTAAAATGAATTTAGTACAAAATTAGTTGTTCCAATTTAGCAGACTATAAGTATACCATTTATAGTGTGGCATAAGTACACTTAGTTATACTTAATGTATTTTTGTATTTTTCACTAGGGTAGTAAGGGTTAAAGAGCGGCTCAGCTGCTACTATGCCATACTGTAAATGTATATATAATACTGTAACATACAAGTCTTATTTCATTATATATCAGTCTTAACTTATTTTTCATTCTTTTTTCAGCCAGAAGACAACAACTAGATAAGGCTGCATCTGATTTCTTTTCCTATCTCGCCTTGCCTCTTTGCCTATGCTAGTCTGCATCATGACAGGAGCCCACTTTTCCGTCAGCTATGTAATTGGTATGTGGGCTGGCAGTGTGTGAAGCAATAGGGTCTTGGAATTGGGTGGCAACAGTCAGCCCTGGAGAACCTGTCAAAATTTATAGAAAGGCAAGCCATGTACTCCACTTTATTCAGAGGACACTGCATTTTAATAGCTGTAAGCGTTTCAGTAATTCAAGGTGGCGTCATTAGAGGCTTATTTATTCACTCTGGGGCTGAGAGACAGAAAATGCCTTCCCCATCAGCTGAGGCAGCTCCATCTCAGCGCTTCCCGCCGAGGAGAGGAGGGAGAATTAGAGTTGAATGGGCAAACATGACAATCGTGCAACAGTTAATGAATTAAATGGAAAACGCATCAGGTTGTCTTGAATGGGGCCTTGGGGTAGGGCTTTAGCATTGTCTTGTTTTTCTCTTGTCATCATTACCTTACCGATTGAACAGACATGAAATAAACAGGTTAAAAATAACTATGGCCATAAGCATCGAGGTTGACAATCGGAATGGATTCATGGAAGTCAAATTGCGGTTAGACCTTGAGATTAAATAACACGTGCTTTAATTATGAATTTAAAAGAGCATAGGTTTTGGTGCTCTTCTAGGTTGTTGACCTTTACATCTGTTTATGTTGCCATTTCAGTTAAGCTACTTGAAAATACAGAGAGGTTTTCAATTCATCTGATTATATTCTCTGTATTCACAGGTGGTACACACAAGACCAGTGATGAAAGTCAAAACTGTCTCGGCTGTAATGAGAGATATTCCGCCAATGGACCAAATCCTCTAGACTTTTTCACTGTCAACTTATAAGCTCAAAAACCTTAATTGTTTTGACACAATTTTGCTACTATTCTATTGCGAGATGTTTCTTCTGTTCAGCTTAAAAGATCTCATTTGAAGGGCCGGTACCCGACTCCTCAGGCATTGACTAATAGGGTCTTGATCCTGTTGAAGGCAGATATGATCAGTAGACAAATGCAACATTTTCCCTTTGTGCTATCAGTGATTGTGGACATTTGTCAACAGTGAGAGGAAGTTCAAGGAAACCTGCTTTGGAGAGCTGCAGGACAGTCAGATCAGTGCTTTCAAACAATGAAAGGGTTCATTAGAATTTCAACTCATCCATTTAATGTCAACACATTACAAAAACCATGATAAGAAAGACCCAAACTGCAGGTCAAATTGTGTAGGAGTGAAAGATGTTTCTGTTTCTTTGCACGGTACAAATTCCTGAATGTTTGGTCTCCTTTTGCTTGGAAGTAGCGGCATTTCATTGAAAACTCCAGTATGTTTTAAAAGCTCTTATTTTGATTCTGTCAGTGTCTTGTTTTCTTCTTATTGATTTCCCCCATGATGAGTATTGCTTATTCTATAATAGCATAATTCATAATTATATTGAGGCTTGTTATACATGGATGCAGTGAGGAGGATACCTATTAAGTGACATACAATAAAATACAAATTAATTACAATTCAATTTACTGTTTGAGAGGAACAAATAAATATCTCTTGAGAAAGTTTGGCCGTTATACATGCATCTCCAGTAAATGCATGGTGTTTAGAATATTATATTGGAGGAAGAGAGGGAACGGATCAGAACTAGTCTAGTTAAATGCTAAGCACTTCAAACAACCTGATTCATAGCCGGACCTCAAAAAGTGAACAAAGGGAATAGCTGATTTTGCAGACTCCTGACAATTTATTGCCTTTTTATGTAGGAAAGCAAAACCAGGAGGTTACATTAATTCACAAACCCCTTGACAACTGACCTGTTTTTAGAAAGAGTGAAGGCCGTGTGTGATGATAGGTATGTGGGTAAAGAAAGATTTACATCTTTCTTTAGATTTTTTTTTTTTTTTTAGTTATTCATCTGCCAGAAAACCATCACTTTAATTTTAGCCCCAAAATATTTGGATGCCATGAAGAATTCCAAATCAGATGTTTTATTGAACGCATTAAGTATTACATATACGTATGTAGTATAGCCTAATGTGTATTTCCATCACAGGTTTGGTCTTAAATTTCATCCAAGGTGGTATTAAAAAGGTCTTAAAATGTCTTACATTTATCTTGTTTATATCTGTAGACACCCTGTATTCGAAAATGCTTGACAATACCAGTTAATTTCTTCTTTCTTATATTTTTGGGGGTCCAGTCATACAATTGTGAGAATTATTATTATTATTTTTTTTTTGTCAGCATTGTTACTGTATACTTTTTCTGTCTTACAATGAAATATACTGAACAACCTAAAAAAAATTAAAAAACACAACAGTCTCTTGGCTAATGGACTAAGAATACACATATTATTTATTTAAATCATATTACCCTTAGGATTTATAATTGTAAAGTAATCCTAGGATTTTCACCCAGTCAGAATGAAACCATGAAAGACGATTTTCTGGTCTCCCAAAGTCAATGATTATCAAAAATCTCCTTGATTAAAATGACGAATTTTACAGAATTTGACACACATACGTAGAACATCTTTCTAAGCGGGACCCTTCCAAAACTAAATAGGCTTATCTGTTCTAAACTATATTGCTACATTTAGTCATCAACAATATTTACAATGTTAACAATGTCCAACTAAAAGATTAAAGCAGAACAATTATTCTTTTAAAATATGAATGACAGACCTATGAGCTTGTTGGGATAGTGGTATTGTGTTTGGACCTCTATAATTGCTGCTTGCAGCTATATTGACTCTTGTTGTTTATGCTTGACATTAGATCCAGACATTTGGCATTGAGCTCATTTGCAGCTTTGTTGATCTAACTGTTTGTTTTGTTTCACAGTTCCTCCCAAAATCTATGACATTTCATCGGACATTACTGCAAACGAAGGCAGCAATGTTTCACTCATCTGCACAGCCAGTGGGAAACCAGAGCCCAAAATCTCTTGGAGACATATCACCCCATCAGGTGAGTTCAAAGCAGTTACTGTAAAATATGCTACAATAGGGCTTTTCACACTGCGCTTAAAGGAATAGTTCACTTTGAAATTAATTTGTGATATGTTTTAGCTTACCTCAAGGGCATCCAAGATGTAGGTGTCTTTTTGTTTCCACAGTATTTTCAATTTTGATATTTTTAGGTCAAACCGTTCTTGTCTGTCAGTCATATAATGGAGGTAAATGGGGTCCACCTCGAAGAGCATGCACAGAGAAGTCCAAATTGAACATGATTTAATGACTCGTAAATGTAAGTACACATTGATGGCCTAAGACATGGATCGAGCGGTTTGTGTGAGAAAACGAACAGTATTTATATCGTTTTTACCTCGTATCTCTTTAACCCTTTACTCCTTGAAGTACCTCTTTAACCCCAGGTTCTCATCATTGTAAACCCCACTTTTAACCCTCTGGTAAAGGAACGTTTCAGACTTAGTAATTTAGCAGCAAGATTAGCAGGGATAGCACCACTTTTGTGGTGTTAACCCTGCATTGCGGTGTTAAACCATAGTGTGAAATGATATAGTGTTAGAATGGAACACCAGATGCTTAGCAACAGACAACAAATTGTGTGTCTCATATTCACATGCTTTAACTGAAACACAGCACGTTGAATAAACAGTCGTTTCAGCATTTGAGGTAAAACATGTCCAATGGTGACAGAAAATACAACAACTGAAGTGAGGAAGACACTATTTCATTCTTGCCTTTTATACAGTAGTTTGATAAGCCCATTCAGGTTAAACTTGGTAGTACAGTCAGCAATATAATATGAGGTTGCACAATGCTAGAGAAAAATATTGTGTGTAGCATTCATCAAATCTGACACTGGCACTGCAAATGTATAAAGACGTTAACCTGGGGTTTAGGCATGTCCAGTGTGAAACGTCAACTTATGAATATCAAGGATTAATTGTTAAGCTCAGGTAAATAATGAGCAGTGTGATATGTGAAGCAAGATAACCCAGGATTACGTTTACCCAGGGTTTACAATGACCGAGGGTTAACTATTCAAGTATGAAACATTCTAATATGTTAGACAGAATTTCACATCGTCTTTAAAACAGAGTAAAAACGCCTGTCCCGGTTGTTCAGTGTGGTGGAGTTAGAGGCTCAGAAGGTTAAGGTGATGAAACTAACATGTTTCTGTTCTAAACCCTCCATAATTGAGTTTAGGAAAGGCTTTTAATCAATTATCGCTTCATTTTTCTGTTGCTCTCACAAAAACATCTTTCATATTAAGTTATCACTCTGCCGCAGCGTAAACAACATGGTGTGGACGCATCAACCTCATCTTTACCTTTCATAGTTTGTATTCACCTGTTAAAGAAGCAATTTGGGGACATTTTCAAAGCAAATTGAAAATTCAGTACAACAGCAGTATTTTTGAGTGGTTGTGCATTTTATTGAAGTCGGCTACTATTACCTTTGCATATATGGCAGCACTGTAGTAACAATGCAGAGCTGTAATCACCGTATCTCATGGGCTGTGATTTCCAGTAGTTCTTGAATGACCCTGCAGGAGGCTGAACCATCAACCTACAGCCACTAGATTTAATTGCTGAAATACTCTGAATGCAATTGGCCTCATTCGTTCTTGTGTGTGTGTGTCATCAGACCTTTGACTTCTGTGCCTCTAATTATTTCTTGGCATACCGTAGTCTTTTCATTGATATAAACCTAAGCGGTAATTACTCTTTAAGACCTTTTAAAGACATAATGCGTTGAAGACCTCATAAAGACCTTTCACTTATAACGCTGAACAGCTTTCCATCTGATTCAAAGGTTTGGTCCACAAGAAGTATTTATTACTGTATAAATGGTTGTTGATTGAGTGCATTCAGTATTTTGATAATCGATTAATCTAACGATTATTAGAACGATTAATCAACTAATCGTCGATTATTTCACCGCCTAATCAGTAGGTTTGGAACGATTATTCCGATTTTTTAATTAGTTAAAACATTGAGTTATACATATTCTTACTATATCATAAAAAAAGAAAATCAGTTCAGCTTTTGAAATGCTTGTTTTAATGAACTTTGAGCCAACTAAACAGGTCATTCTCTTAAAATTTTCAGATTTCGGACCAACTCAAATCACACACAAAAAGCGTTTTTTAATAGAACCACTGCTTTTCTTGTAACTGAAACAGAAAAAAGGGACATTTACTTCAAGACACAAAGAATGGTAAAATATTAATCTGCAACCAATATTATAAGTATAAAATTGCAATCTTTTTACAATTCTTGGTTTGAAGTTTTGTGAAACTTTCTCAAACCTTGCTAATTCGGATACGTTTGCACTCCGTCATAATTCGCGCTGTTTTTTTTTCTTTTATCGCAATAGCATTTGTCGCATTTGCAGTCCGCGTTACACTCTAGCGCTATAGCTTCTTAGCTGTCAAATCATGATAATGCACACCCTTACATTAGGTCACGTTAGAGCAAACGACTACTCGACAAGAAAGATATTTGTCGACAATTTCTTATTGTCGACAATGTCGACCAATCGTTTTAGCCTTACTCAAGTATTAAACGACTAAAACGTACAATATGGATGTATTCACATCATCTAAAATATGAATGTATTTACATATGTACAAATTTAGAAACGTTAGAATTTTACAGTGAGAATTGTTTTATTTTAAATATATTTGTATAATTACTTTTTACTATGGTATAGATATTTTGAGTAATGGAACATTTGAATACAGCACCATAAAACAGAACAGAATGAAACGGTTATAAAGAAAGATTACACAATGCATGCATTAAATGTGATGCTATTGAACTAATGTATTTGATGTCATAGATTACAATAAAATCGACTTATTAATTCCATGAATTCAACGATTTTTTAAAGCTTTGTCAATTTAATTTCTAAAGCTATTCATATGAAAAATGTTTATGTTTTAGATTCTGTAAATAACTTGCACTTCAGTTACGAAAACTAAAACCACACTACACACAAACACTTGCAATCATGTTGGACTGACTTTCAAGTATGCAGCACTCTCTCCACCTCTACAGATTTTGAATGATTTCTGATGAACTGTAAATGAGCATCTTCTTTGTCTAAGCTTTAAATCGCACTGTATTTGAATACTTTCAGTACTCAGGGCATTGGAAATTGCCTTATAGACATGATTTTAAATGCTGTACGCTAGATGATGATAGATCCTAAAGTGAGCCCTATATAGGGGCGTATTGGGGCTACAGGGCGGCCTCATGCTCTCCGTACAGGCTGGCCCAGCATGGCTGATCCCAAACATGCTTTCATAAGCTTTTTCCATTGTGATTTAAGGCCTCGGGATATAAGGAACTCTGACCTTTCAAATAGCTGACTATAACACTTCAGATTTTATTTTTTTCTCATATGATAAGGCTACAGTGAAGCGTTCAATTGTCCCTTTGTCAATCCTTTGTTCGTGCTTCTGCCTCCCAAAATTGTCTTTACTCTGGTTTATTGTTTCCCGAACAATAGCTCTGTACTCGGCACTGACAGTCTGTCTAAACATCGCCAAATGGTTTCAATACAAAGACCAGCTCTTAAAAAGTGCTCGGACCGATATTCAGTGATTGTTTTGGGGCACTTTGGGACAATGAGGAGGCTATCAGGGTTAAGGTGAGATACCGGGAATGGAAAAGTGGAGGCGGTTCAGGAGCATGTGAGTTTTGTGTGTGTGTGTGAACCAGAGAGCGAGTATGTGTGGCGGTTGAATGATGGTTGATGGTTCATTGCTGACAACTCAATGAATGCCTGGGGGAAGACTCTCATAATGCAACATTTGGGCTGCCGCAGTGTTCTCTCACAGGTTAAGGCAAGGAATGTACAGAGAACTGCCACTTTAGCCCATAATGTATTCTTCACCAGCGCTCGTCATATCAGCAGCAGGCAGACCTTAAGGAAATGTACTTTCTGCTCTCCACACAATGTGGGAAAGTGCTTACTGTGACTGCACTTAACACAGAGCAATGTGGAATCCTAGATTAACCTTGCTATGATTTGGCTAATTTGGCTGGAATGACATTTCCCAGAGGCTATACGACGAGTCTCTCTTGAGCTTTTCAAATAACTCTCAACATGCACAATTCGGCAGCCAGCCGAGATTGCGGATGATAAGGGGCAAGTTTACATTTGAATACGTTTCTGGCACATAATCAGTGTCCCTTGAGCCTTTAAAATGCTCCAGTGTGTGTGTGTGTGTGTCTGTTTTTATGTAGTATAGCAAACAGGTTGGTTGATGGATCAAGTTGGTTGATTTCACAAAGGATCCATTCTTTATTAAATGTCACTAAACCTTAATTTCCTTTTTTGGTGTAATCAGTAAGATAAATGATAGTTCATTGTGAAGTCTCTTTTAGAAAAAAGAAAATAAATCACTGAACTAAGGGAATTATGGAGTGAGTTAATCACTGATAATGATCCCTCTGGTTTTTAGCTGGAGGAAGAAATATGGTAGGTTGGAGTCAATGTTTGTTAATTTTGTAAGTTTGCTTCTTACCTGAGAACAGTTTTTTCAATAATATGATGATTGTCACTGCTGTTATTGAGATCCATTGAGTATTTGAATGTATTTTACGTTACGTGTACGACATACATTTACTTGCGTTTCCATAGACACTGAAATGTACAATATTGATGTATTTACAGGACTAAAATGGAAATTATTTTCATACTACCAACTTTTTAATATTAAAGGGTTAGTTCACCCAAACATTATTTTTGTTTCATGAATTACTCACCCTCATGTTGTTCCATACCCGTAGGACCTTTATTCATCTTCGGAACACAAATTAAGATATTTTTGATGAAATCTGAGAGCTTTCTGCTTTCCGAAATCTATTTCAGATTTAGTTCAGTTAATGAAAACAATTTTCAATAGTTTTAGTTACAATAACAGTTTGATTTAGTTAATCTTTTAAACATTTTTGGCTTAAATCTTTAATTTGTGCTCGGTCAAAGGCTGCTGGATGTCTTGCTAAACCTTGTAGTTTTTATGGTGAAAGAAACAAACATTCCTTAAGTTTTGGGTGAGAAATCTCATACTATAATGCTTACTTCCTCTGATGTCCTATTTTTCTTTTCATCTTTATACATTTGAATATGAGTTGTTTTTGCACGAGTACGTTTGATACAATTTATCCTATTTTACAATCTTTGCCTCTATTCATTTGTAAAGCATTGGGAGCCAAATAGCACCTTGTCAGCTCAGATACACGTCTTTGTCAGTTTCTTGATAACCCCAAAGCAAACTATTTCGTTCAATTTTTCAGTTTGTTACCTACTATAGAGGTGTAATTGTTTTCATGCAACACGCAAATATTTATGCAAATTACACAAGGATTGAATAATTTGGTCTTGGAGCTCTTGTATTTCTATCAGTGTTGCTAGTCAGAATAATGTTTTTTGAAATGTAAGTTTATGAGAGAAGAAATGTCTGATTTGAAAAAAAAAAAAAAAACCCAACAACTTTATTTTCAGTCAGATCCTTTCAATGAATCGGAAGGCCAAAAAGTGACCCTTGCGGCACTCCGAAATGTACTGATGTTAACTTGGATATTTCCCCATTTAAATATACAAAATGGTAACCTAAATATGATCCAAATCACTGCATTGTCTTTCACTGAATACCAGTATAATTTTTTGCAATCGATCTAGTATACTATAGTGTTGAACGCAGCCCTAAGATCAAGTTGAGATGCAACCTTGGTCAGAGGCTAATTTGGTCAGAGGCTAGGTCATTTGTAATTTTAATGAGTGCAGTTTCTGTGCTATGATGGGGCTTGAATTATGACTGAAATTGTTCATAGATATAAAAAAAATTCAAGGGGGATCATAATTGAAGTGAAGAAGTGAAGAAATAGACTTTATCAATATTCTTTGAAATAGACTTTTAAATATTTTAAACCTTTCTAAAGGGCCACCGTAGTTTCACAAACTCCTGTGGAAAACACTGCAAAGCAATCTTATGGCTATTGCATGAACCATTTTAACATACCTGATTTTATACCTTCATTTGTGTCCCTTTTGGAACTTAAAAACTCTGATCCCTATTAATTTTAATTGTATGGAAAAGAGCAACAAGAACATTATACAGGACAGGTTTGGAACAATATGAGGGTGAGTCAATGATGACAAAGTTTTCATGTTTGTCTGAACTATCCCTTTAAAACTTTGTGATGTCAGATCTTGAATCACTTTTTTACTTAGTAAAAACACATCCCTCCCAAAACCTTGCCATTCTCTCTCTCTCTCTCTTTTTCTTTTTTTCTTTTTTTTTACTCTGTGGGTTTTTTGCTGAGTCAAAGGCTTCTCTTCTGTATGCCAGTGCAGGATTTACTTCTCTGTGCCATGAGACAGATTCACCTCACTGTAAAGTAGAGTATAAATAGATTTCACTGAGGAATATTACAATAAGGTTTGATCCTGGTCTGGGGAACCCAGGGAGGTTTTTAGTCCAATAGAAGCATGGCTGCCTCATGCTGTGCTTTATTGCCTCTCATTACTCAAGGACCTCAAGTCATATTTGTCATATTGGCACAGTTCTGATTTCCTCACAGTATTTGACGCCAGTAATATTCCTCACTGTGTGAATACGGCTCATTAGGGAGATGCTTCCCACTGGATATCTTGCCAACAAAGCAATTAAGTGCCTTAAACCTTTTTTTTTGTTCAGTTTTCTGGGTGCTCTTAGGTTTTTTTTTACTGTCGTTTGTACTGTACCTTTAAGCATTTAGCCATAGATTAGTACATGGCTGTGGAAGAACTCTTCTGAAGGATTGCGCTTGTTTGTTTTCTTATGTTTACAGCCAGGAAGTACGAAAGTGGGGAGTATTTAAATATCACAGGCATCACTCGGGATCAAGCAGGGGACTATGAGTGCGGCGCCGAAAACGACATTGCTTCACCTGACACTAAGACCGTGAGAGTCACAGTCAACTGTGAGTACCATATACTTATTTTGTTTATGTTTGTTTACTGTCAGTGTTGAATCACATGAAAATGACATTGAGTCTTTTCCACCTCTCTTACTGGAGATACTTACTGGAATTCTGTTCTGAAACCTAGTGAGGCTGTCAACTGTCTGCCTCCTAACTGAAATGGGATATTGTAAGTGACCGATTTGGAAAGCTCTACATGGGCAGAGACTCCATAGCAGACATCTTGCAAAGCATACAGGAAAACTTGCCTTTTATAACTTTATAACTTTTATAACACACCTTTATAACTTTACCTTTTATTATAATTATAATGGTAGCTCTTTATTTTACAATCCTGTTCCCCATGTGCATACTGGGTAATTGCAATAACTGGGTAATAACTGGTACTAACCCTGAACTTACCCCTAAATCTAACCTTAACCCATTTAGTTACATTATATCATGCAGTACAAGTCAAACAGTTATTATTTTAATAATAATAATAATATATATATATATATATATATATATATATATATATATATATATATATAGTGCAATGTACCACAAAACACTTCTGCTGCTATTGCTGTGGGATACAGGTAAGGTTTGGGTCAGGTTTGGTGGTATGATTAGGTTTAAGGGTGAATTAAGTATATAATATATAGATATATAATATATATGTGTCACGGGAAAGAAACACAAGATCCAGTTGCGAATGAAAAGGCAGTTTATTAAATTGTAAATTGCTGGTAAAATTTTTCATGAAGATTATGCAATGTGCTTACTAAACATAAAGATAAGAACCGCCCACAATTGTTTATTTTATGTTTTTTATACCAAAATGCTGCCTATAATATGAAAAGTTGGTACGTTTTACAGTGGTTTTAAGCATGCCCCCTCCCTTCCACTAGGCTGGGCGTGACGTCATAAAAGGGACTCCAAGCTTTTACTGTCTATACCTGGTCTATGCTCCAAGCCTAAAGTTACCGTTAGTCTAAACGGCAAGTATGCTAGCAGTGATATTGGAGAGCTAGCTAGCAAAAATGGTTAATTATTGTGTTTGTGTGGGATGTATGAATACATCAAAAGAGGGGAGAGGCTCCACAAGTTCCCCAAGGACATTCGTGCCTGTAAGTGTTAGCATACCTGAGGTAGATCTCAGGTATGCAGACCCGACCCTACCCGAGCACATTGTGTCTGTGCCACGCTTCCAGGTTTCATGGGCGTGATTTGTCAACTTTGTGCATGTCCACTTCCGACGCAGTTCAACAATGGCTGAGACGAAGGCTATATATGTCACTGCTCTGTTACAATTTGTAAATCTAACCAACAACGCCAACCCTACGTAAGTTTTCATGGATTCCCGACTGAATTGAGTATAAGGAAGAACTGGATTAAAACTTTAAAATAAAACAAGGTAGCACGTTTGTTTGCAGCCGGCACTTTAGTGAATCAGACTAATTTACCAGGGATGCCGTATAAATAAACTTAGTGTAGTCCGTCATCAGTTCGCCAGCGAGATCGGTGATTCAACGGAAGTGGCAGTGCACAAAGATCACTGAATACGGAAGTCCTACGTTTAAGCGTGCGGAAAACTACTGACAGGGCAAGGAGACAAAACATGAACCTCAGAACGATCTGACAATGAATACGACAAACACAAGACTACTTATAGGCCATATTAACGAGCCGCACCTGCGGCTGATCTGATAGCTCATCACCGCAGTTGGTAACTAAGGCTGTGTTTACACGGAAACGATTCTGAAGAGAAAACGCAAAAGTGGCGATGCGTCATCGCTTTTTATTCTGCGTTTAGACGATCGTTTTGTGTGGGAAATTCGCGTGCAAATGGTGACGCAAAAGTCTGTGAAATTCAATGTAGTATGCACTCCAGGCGGCTAAGAGTACATACTACAGCAACACCAAGTCCGCGCCCTGCGTACAACCTCCACTGTCAAGCAGACTTTTGCGTTTTTACCCTTTACACAGGAACGTGACGGTGGACCGTTTTTAAGATTTCCACTCTGGTGGGTGGTTTCACTTTTTTTGCGTTTTTAAGCCTCAAAAACGCCGTCGCCGTGTAAACGAAAGGCACATCCGATAAAATATTTTTACGTTTTCACTCGCGAGCGTTCTCGTGTAAACAGGGCCTAAGCTGATAGGCAATCAGACCAGGACATTACACACAAACATGAACAGGCAAACCTGCGAACCGTGACAGTATAATCCACATTTTGGTCATCTGCCATCTTAAATTCCGCTTCAGATCCTCCTTGTTGTGGCATCTGACTGCTCACTAGATTTTGAAACAGAGCTACGGTCGTCTTATCTCCAAGGCCGACTTGGATGGAAATTAGAATAGAATTTGTGGTACTGGAGTTCCTTAATATTTAACGAAAGAATTCCCTTTTTTGTCTGGGATGGAATGATTAATTTTCAGTGAGGAATGGTCTCAGTGTTATACGGAGTCTTCTATTATGCAGGTAATGAGTCTCTCAAAGTGTGAAAAGACAGTAATGAGCACTCCAAGCATTAATGAATTATACTGACTTTACCCATCATGCTCATAGTGAGGCTCTGCCTCCCACCATATACAGGGGGAAGGACTCTTGACAGTTTCTCTTCCTCCTCTGTTCTCTTTTAAGTCATTTTGTCTCATCTGCGGTCACGGGGATCATTAATCTCTTTGTCTCTGTATATACCATATGCTGAATCATGGCACAGCGAGAGCACATAAATCAGATAGCCCGACACTCACACCAGAATAAATGTGGCGTTCAGACCATCAAATGCCAGCTCCCTTTACTATCATGCAAACACAGACTAATGGGCAGATAACCACTTGGAAATGTCAAGATTTGAGCGGGAATGGCTAGATGACAAGGATGAAGTCATAAGTCATATCACATCTCCTCCCCGTCGATTGTATTGACACTCTCTAATGAGGAGTGAAGCTGAGAAGATAGAGGAACAGCTCAGTGCTGAGTCTGGTGGTCCGGAATTTCTTTAGCTTAATGACCATTTTCACTGTGCAATTCCATTTTGTACCCACTATTTTTCACACTATTTTACATATGCTACATACCCGTTTTTTTTTTGGGTTGGATGGTGGCAAGGGGTCCGGGTTTGTTGTACATTTGAGAAATTTTTGTGCTGCTATCAGCCAATCGCCATTGTCCTGACATTTTCCTGTGGCTCAGGAGAGTTTAGTCACGTGCATTTACTCTAATGGATGGCTTTTTCCAGGCATTATAGACCTCTCTGGAACCAAGAGGTTGATGTTTCGGTTGATCACTGTGATTTACAGTGACAGCTAATGGAAGGAGTAACAACTTATCTTGTTCCCTTCAAAACATTTTGCTTTAGAGTTGGAAAAGGGATAGACATAATCCCAATGTATCATCAAAGCACTTTAACCCACTAGAGCTGGGGAAAGAATTAGCTGGAATGGAGGCACCAATGCTTGATTAAGAAGAGAATGGTGTTATCTCACCATTATGCCTCAAAATAAAAGTGAGAAGGATGCGAGAGGACTACTCTGCTAGTGCGCAGCAGAGTTCCTTGCTCTAAGAAATCCTTGATGTGAAATGTGCAGAGCTAATATGTTTTTATTCACCACTCAACAGTTAAAAGAAAAGAAAAAATTCTGCATCAGAGTATAATATATGCTGTATCTAAGGGTAATGGCATGAGTATGAGTATAGGTTACCAATACATTTCAAGTAGGCTAGATGAAAATAAATTCTTACACAAAATCTGGTAAAAAAAAATCTATATAGATATAAATATGTAAAATGTTGCATGGGCAGACCTGACTGGGCTTCTGATGATGTGACATCTGTGACGCCTTTCTTTGTATTTGTAGATTTATTAGCCTAACACGACTGCAGATAGTGTGACTCGACTCTGACATTTCAAGGGTAATCAGTGTAATTAAATACACGCTAAAATAATCCGGTTTGAAAATAATTACGGCTTTTAGGTATGTGCAGAACTGACCTTCAGGTTAATTGCAGATTATGACCACTAATTGAAATAAGCTAATTTATTAGTTGAAACCTAATTCTGTCTTTTAATGCATTTAACATGTATATGTTAGTTGCAACTTAATTGAAGCCACAAGGACATTTGTAGAAATGTATGAATAGGATTTTTTTTTTCAGGCATTTACACCATAATAACATCTAAATGAGGACCTACAGGTCAATGTCAGAATCTTCTGATAAGTATAGACCTGCGGTAAATAATCAAATCCCAACTGACCCATGTGTGACAAACACCTTGAATCATTTACTGTTGTTGTTACTCATTCCCCAGTGAATCCTCGGATAGTCTTCGGTCAGCATTTTGTGAAAGTCATGTAGATCCCTCAGCTAACTGAAATAATGTTAACATTTCAAATGCCCATGATGACCTCCACATGCAACCACTCATGCAAATAAAAAAGAAAGTCATTGTTTCAGTTGGTGTGCAGCGATTGTATCTCTAAGTAAGCATACTAATTCCTAAAATGCTCAAATTCAGCCTCTCATGAATATTACCCAGACATGGTGCTCAGTTCCAGCCAAATCAAACATAAAAAAAGTGAAAAAAAAAAAAAAAAAAAAAACACTGTCTGGTCCTCACAATGTAGGTGATCTCAGGTTTTACTATCCTTGTGGGGACATGTGTCCCCACAATGTAATATAAACCTACACACACACACATACACACACACACACACACACATATATATATATATATATATATATATATATATATATATATATATATATATATATGAGAATCAACTATTGCATTTTAAATTTGCACTGTTTTGTCTTGAAATGAGATGTCATGAAATTCAGTTTGTCTTGTCTAACTATATGCCACAGCGTTGTCTTATTTTCCTGTTGGAATTCGCACCAGATGTTTAGTTTTAAGTTCCAATTTTACACAGGTGGTATTCATATGCTGCCTCTAAAGACATTAAGCTAAAGAAATATATAAATAAGACGGTTTAGGTGATGTCATGTAGC